GGGGGGGGAATATGATTTAAAAAGCTGTGCGCAAAAGCTGGATTATGGAGAGTTTACCTTTGCTTACTGCTTTCTGATGCTAACACAATTGTACAAATGTGTTAAATGAATCTGACTGGTACTCAGTACTCTCTGTTTAAACTGAGATGCCCTGCCAGAAGTTTGGATATTGATGGGTTGTGATACCTGCTCTCTCCGTGTGCTTGTCCCTTCAATGGGTTGTGCTGTTGGTGGCAAGAGCAGCTATGCTTCAAACTCTTCATTATTGTTTGCAGCTAGGAGAGGAGAAAATAGGTGAATAATACTTGTGTGGTGGCACTGCTGTTCCAGGCAGAGGGAAGCTGTGGGTTGGCAGAGGTGTTGCGCTTCCCTCTGGGCACACACCTGATACTACCCCCAGCTGCACTCCTGCAGGGCTTGCAGGCTGGTGCTACCAGCTGAAGCCATGAGTGGGATTTCTTGAGAAAGAAAGTGCTTATGGAGAAAGAAAGTGCTCCCCCAGCATCACTCCTTCATTTCAGTTTCTATTCTGGCTTCTGAGATCAGAAGCAATAGGATGAGGAGGAGGAAGAGGCTGACCACCCAGTAGGGTGGGTCTGCCTTTGTCAAACTGCTGTTTCTAAGACATAAAATAAATCCACCCAATTTACAGAAAAGAAGTCACAACAAATGTGAGCAGGCAGTCTATCTTATCTCAGAGAACCCCACCCAAGCCCAAACTTTCTTAGACTTGTTACCTAGAAAAGCTTTGTGCTTTTTTACTTGGCTTGGGAATTAGAAGCAGAAAGAAATTACTCTTGTTTCTATTCTTACTATTATCATTATAATCATCATCATTATTATTATTTTAGACCTGAGGTTTACTGATTTTCAAGGTTTACTTGCTTTCTTAACCACATAAAGGCAAGGAGAATGTTTCAAACTTTGGGCATTGATTTTCTCTCTTTGTGGCTCCATACATCAGGAAACTGGAGATACGAGTTTTCTATACTGCTCTCTTGCGTGTAGCCTGGCTTTGTTATGAGGAAGTGAGCCCACAGCTGCTTCCCACATACCCTGTGCCCATGCCGTGTAAAATACACCAAATCCAACAACTGGAATGCCCAAGTCACTCCCTTTAGCTTGGGTTCACTGCCCAGTTCAGCATGAGGGGAATGAGTCATGTCTAAGCACTAGCAAAGCCTTTATGGAGTGGAGTGGGGAACATGAGAGATGCTATTTTGAAGGCTGGATAAAATGGCAGATAATGCAAAAACCTTGAACAGATAGAAATGCAGGCAAGATATGGTTATGCTCTATCCCCTTCAGTGGCAGCTAGGGAGTTGGGCAGGAGGCGGCCTGCGGAAGGGTGGTAGCCACCAGCTTGGTTGTAGGTTCAGACCAAGCACGGTTTTATCACTGACTCTCCTGTTTCCTGTCTCTTTCAGAAGAGGGCCTGGGAATGGCTGCCCCAACCGTAGTGACGATCCAGCCCCAATTTGGCGCGGCCATGTCCTCTGTCTCGAGGTGCACGTGGCAGACAGGCCTGATGGACTGCTGCTCCGACTGTGGCGTCTGTGAGTGCCCTGGGCACGCTTTCCTTGCCCCTGCTGCCTCTGTGGGGGTGCCACAGCGCAGCCCGGCAGCCTGGCTCTCCCAGCTGCTCCGGCGGCTCCAGGCCGGTAGGCAGAGCCTCAGCCAGGGCTGTGTTTCTTCCCCTGCCAGGCTGCTGCGGGATGTTCTGCTTCCCCTGCCTGGCATGCCAGGTGGCTGGGGACATGAACGAGTGCTGCCTGTGTGGGACCAGCGTGGCCATGAGGACCCTGTACCGCACCAGATACAACATCCCGGTCAGTGCTGAGCCTGCCCCTCACCCACTGCGGGCCTGAAGGACAGGGTGCCCCAAGGCCCCTCTCTCTGCGCTTGAGGGAGGGGCTCAGGACAGCAGGGATTGCCACTCCCCCTTCTTTTCCCATTCGTATCCATCTCAGCTGCTGCTTCGTCTTTGAGCTTAGATTGAGATAACTGTGGGCTGAATAAAGAATAGGTGAAGCTGGCTACACGGATAAAGATCCATGATCAGGTCTGGGAGAAAGGTGGACAGTGCCTATGTGAGGGTGTTTCTTCCTGCGAGGGAGGTTGTTGCTGCCATCCCAAGGGCAAACCATAGGGACCCAAGTTCACTTTGCCCTCATTGTCTGTTCTTGTGAACGTTTTTCTTCCCAGTCTGAAAGTCAGAAGTCAAAAGATAAGCAGTTATCTGCAGCCTGCACAAAGGGCTCCTTCCTTCCTTTCCGTGGTTCCTGGGGTTTGCCAGCCCAAGGCTTCAGTGTTTTCTACTCAGGATGCAGCCTGCTGAGAAGAATAGAGTACTTGACCTGGAATGCGATTAACATTTTCTTGGCTGGAACATGGTCTCTGGAAAGCCTCTGTCCCTAACCTGTTTCTCCCTAACAGGGGTCCATTTGCTCTGACTACTGTGTCACCCTGTGGTGCACTGTTTGCTCTGTTTGCCAAATGAAGAGAGACATCAACCGCAGGAGGGAGCTTGGCATATTCTGGTAAGCCAGGGATGGTGGTGCTCGTCCATAAAGCTGCTGTCACTCGCAGCCAGGGGGCTTCCCAGAGCTTCTCCTGCCAACACCTTGACACCAGACCGAGTTTGCTGCAGTGGGGAAATGGCCATGGACAGTTAGCCAGAGTGACACATCCTGAAGAAAAATGTCACTGGGGACCTTGTGCGGGGTGGAGGGAGGAGGACTGGGTGATACACAGAGTGTGGTGAGGCACATCTCAGTCCTGACACTCCTCTCCCATCCTGTTGCAGAGGCTGCCATCCTCGCTGCATCCTTGGAGCTGCTGCAAGCAGGAGTCACCACTGCTCTGACTGTTGGGAAATGCACCATGTGGAGCTTGCCTTGACTGCATTTGATTTTCCCTACTTAACTGCAGAAATAAAGTTTTGAGTTTGTCTTCCTACCTCTGTGTATGTCACTCTTGCACCACCTGAGAGCACCAATCCTTCTCCTGCTCCATCCATCTCAGCAGCCCTTGGTGTAGCTGAGATTTCCCTGTGCCTGCTGCAGAGATTTTTCACTAGTATTTTGTTATTGGATCAGCTGTTAGAAAGAATATTTAATACATTGAAGGAGTCAGTGTTGCTCATCCAAGTTTCAAAATTTGGGAAAATGACTACTGCTGCAGGGCAGAGCTGGGTTTTCCTGCAGCCAAGTGACCTCTGCTGTTGGTGAGTGACACTTTCTGAATAGAAAGACATGGGGTACCTGGCACCAGCTCACCTTGATGTTGAAGAGATATGGACCCTGAGCATGAATTCCTCCACACGTGCAATAAAAAACCTGTCTGGGTTGTGGGTTATCTGTGTCCTCTCTAGGTACAAATAGTGCTATCTTCCTGCATGGCATTACACTGCCCATCTGTCTGCACTGGGCTGTGAGCCCTGCATTCCCACCCTGAAGGTGGAGGTTGCATCCACCCTCTCTCCATCAATGTCAAGAGAAATGCTAAAGGACTTTTGATCCCTGCAGATAACTCCCAGCTTCATTCTTTAAGGAGAATATAATTTTTTTTTTTGTCCCCACTCTACCTTCCCCTTTACCACAAAACTTTTTAAGGGCAAGTAGTGGCACTGTCCATGCTGGGGGGGTGGATGTGTGTGATGGCACTCCCAACTGCTTAAACCCAGATGACTCAGACGGATGATCTCTGGCAATGCAGAAAAATGCATTTTTAGCCTGAGAAAGGCCACCCCTGTGTCAGCCAGTGCAGATACAGATAGTTCTTGCAGATGCTCGGGTTTGTCAAAGGAATGGAGCTCCCCCTCCAACAGGCTTAGAGCAGCACAGGAGCCTGGGAACAAACTGCCCTTCTTGGAAAACTTCTCCCACCAGGGCTCAGGGCCTGGAGAACGACTGGGTGGGGAGAGGTGAGGTCTGGCAGCAGGAATGCAGCAGGGAAGCTGCCATTGTGCAGAGCTGCACCTAAGCTACCATTCGCTCTGTTAGTCAGAGGGAGCAGGGGTCACTTGCCAGAGTGCATATAAAGCATGAGAACCAGGAAAAGGACACGTCTCTCCTGGGACAAGGACAGCTTGGAAAGTACGTGTGGCATGGCTTTGCTTTGGGCTGGTACAGAAACTGCTTGTGGCTGAAGTGGTGATGCTGGGCAAGGGGAAAGGGTGGAAGCAAAGGTGAGGTTTTCTACCTGGAGAGCTGCTTCAGGGTTAACTACAGTGTGGTGGGTGCTGCTGATGGCATCTTGACAGATGTGGGGAGCAGAGGTGGACGACAGCAGTTTTTGCACTGTGTTGCTCATATAGTGCACTGTATTTGTGCACATACAGTGCCTATAGATACAGCTTTATGACCTTGTCTGTTGGTGAAATGAAGCTGCATGCACCTCAGGATGCTTTTGCCCCCATCAGTCATTCCAGCATGGCTGGTGATGCCATGGTGGCGTGAATTGTGAAATTGCGATACATTTTTTTGTGCTGGGCCTGGCCCATCTCTCAGTAGCTGAGTGTGTGGCGGAGGCTTCTCCTTGGTGTTGCCTGCTCTGCACTGCAGCCACCACCTGTGCAGGGATGTGGTGTGCTCATACCTGGGGAGGGGAAGGAGAAGCCTGACTGGAGGAATCCTGTCCCTAAAATTTCTCTTGCTGCTGCTGCTGCTCCTGTGCACAATTCTCCCTGTGGTCCCTGTGGTCCTGCCTGCTGCTGAACATCCCAGCCCCATGGTGGGCTCACCCCTGCACAGCCTGTCCAGGGTCTGTCTCCTCCCCTGCCCCTCCTGGTTCCTCTTAAATCATTGTGTGCAAGGCTTCCTGAAAGGGCTGCTGGGAGGTGTTACATTGGCTGCAGCGGGGATGGGAATCACCTGAGGTCTCACAGATGAACAAACAGGGACAGCTGGCCAAGGCAGGGCCAGGAGGTGACCAGAGAGGGATGATGGATGCAGTGTCCCCTGCTGCACTCACAGGTGTCTCAGGTAGGGACAGCCTAGCCATGCTTCCACTGCCTGCAGAAAGCTGCAAAAACTCAGAAGCAAACCATGTGAAGATTTTTACCAGCTTTCTTCCCTCTTACACCATAATTCAGCAACCCTTTTCCTCTTCCTGGGACTGCCAGGAACAAGGGCTCATCCTACAGCAACAGGCTGTTTCTGACAGCTGGGATGTGTCTGTTTTGCTCGGGAGTCACAAGAGCTTCCAGCAGAGCCAGCAACCCTTTGCCACCTGTTGCCATTAGTCAGTGCAAATGCAGTGCCACAGCCGGTGCCACTCTGATTTAGGTAATGAGCTCAATGGCACAGTCTGAGTTCTGGGCATAGTAATTGTTCCGCCCCATTTCTTGTGTCATTTAATACTTAACTTACTGTAACTGAGCAATTCTGGTGTGAAAACAATCCTCTTAGAGTCTTAACAAAGTGGTGCTGAGCTTGGACAAAGGGCAAGGAATGTGTCTGCATGGGAGTACTGTGGGAGAATCCTCAAAATTTTTTTTGTTTGTTTTAATTAAAGCTCCAAAACCAAAACTGAGAGTGGCAGAAGCTGGTCCTGCGCCTTGCAGGGGTGGCAGGGAGGGAAGGGGCCACTGATGGAGGTGCAGGTGGAGTTGTTACTTTGGTCAAGTGATTTTGGGGATGGTACTGTGGAGCAGGAAGTTTCCTGCTCTCCGAGAATGCAGCCTGTTGCTGAGGAAGGCCACGGTGACCCCACAAGACCGACAAAGAGGAGGATCACCTGTTGGTACAGACAGTTCAGTGGAGGAAGGATAGGAACTGGTGGCAGGGCTCCTGAGAGCCTGGGGAGACTAGAACTGAGCAGTAGTAACTTTGGGAGACTGTGATCATAAACAGAACAAAACAAACCCCCCAGAACCTGCCCAAAATGCAGACACAGATATTTTTATGTGATTTTACGCAGACAGCAATGAAAGATGACCTGGAGATGAAAAGACTAGTTTGAGGTGTTGAAGCACTGCAGTTCTGAAGCAGAGGAACCTTTGTTTTACAGACGTTTTACTTGCATAGGATGATGTGCTGCTGCCTTTGGTGGAGGGCTGATTTTAGAGAGGGCTTTCCTTCAGAGGGTAGTGGCAGCTTCTGGCAGAGCTGTGCCCCCCTCTTTGTGGTGAGAGGAGCATTACCCTGGCAGTGGGGACTCCCCAAGGAGCTCTCTGAATGCAGCAGCCTGAGCAAGACACCCACTTCAGAAACACCTGCAGCATCTTCTTCTGATGATTTTTCTTTCCAGACCACAAACTGCCTGGAGGGACCTGAGCCCGTGCTGGCAATGGCCTCTCAAACTGTGATTACAGTCCAACCCCAGTTTTCAGCTGCCCAACAGCCTGTTGGGGAGTGGCAAACAGGGCTGCTGCTCCGATTGCAGTGTATGTGAGTACATACGGAGCCCTCATCCCTGCTGCTGCTTGTGATGTGTTTCCTACTCCTCCTGCAGCATTACCCCTGCCACAAACCCCACTCCCATGGGTCCTGCAGGCAGAGCAGCTCTTGCCTGATGTCAGGAGCCGCAGCTCTCAGCTGGCTTTGCCCCCTCTGTATTTGCACCCGTCGGCAAAGTCCACATCTCACTGTCCCACAGGTCTCTGTTAGATGTTCTGCTTTTTCTGCCTGAACTGCCAGGTGGTTGGGGACATGGGCGAGTGCTGCCTGTGTGGCTCTAGTGTGGCCATGAGGACCCTGTATCGTACCAGATACAACATCTCAGTGAGTGCCCAGCTCGGGGGCCTGTCCCCACAGCAACAACAGCCACTGGATGGGTGCTGAGCTGGAGGCTCAAGGAAGGAGAAAGGGGTGCCCAAGGGGAAGGGCTGAGGCCAGGAGTTGCATGAGCATCCCAGCTGGCCAGGAGTCAGGGACATATCTGCCTCAGCACTGTGAGCTGGAGGTAATCCCAGCACATGCTGCTTCATCCCAGTTCTTGCTGGATATGAGCAGCAGGATGCTGCAGAGCCCAGGTGAGGTCCCATGGGGTGCTGACAATGTAAAATAGGAAGGCTGAAAGGTTTAACACTTGGTGTGGGAAGGGGTTTTCCATGCACTGTCCCTTGCTCCACAGGGCTCCATCCTGCGAGACTTTTGCTCCATCTGGTGCTGCACCCTGTGTGCACTCTGCCAGCTGAAGAGAGACATCAACCGCAGGAGGACAACGGGCATATTCTGGTAACTGGGGGTGCTGGCACTGCTCTGTCACTGCTGCACAGCACCAGTGCCTTCCTGGGGTCTCCCTTTCCTCTGGCACCTGACTCCAGACACAGGTTTGCTGCAGTGCCAGAGCAGTAATGGCTGAGTAAAGGGTGATCCTGCTCTCCTATCCCATTGCAGATGCTGCTGTCTTCAATGCACCCTGTAGAATCGCTGCAGGCAGGAGCTGCTGCTGCCCTGGATGTTGGGATGTGCACCATGAGGAGTTTGCCTACACTGTGCTCGATCCCCTTTTCTCTTGGTAAAGCCATCAATAAAAGCACTGCCTGTCTTTCTGCCTGTGCTCTGTTATTTATGTCCCTGTGTCTTTCTGCAGCATCACAATTGGTGCTGTACTTTTCTAGGCTGTGTGGCCAGAGGCATGATGAGGTTGTCAGGTAAATGAGGCTTTCTCTTGCCCACCCACAGTGGAATGAGGCCAGACCACAAACTTCAGTGAGGAGAAGATAAAACAAAAGCCAAATCTCCTATGGGAACAATTTCTCTGCAGACACCACCAATGTGCAGAGCTGCTGACAACATTGCCCTCTGCTCAGAGAGGCCCCAGAGCACTGGACCCATCCCTATGGATGCCTGGACCATCCCCAGCACCAAGACACAAGTGGGGAGTGCTGGTGGTACTGTGGGATTCCCAGTGACTCTGCTTTCTCCACACAAACATTGTGAAGAGACCATCCCACGGGAATGTCTTCTCTGCGGGTCAGACCCCTGCAGCTCGTGGGTGTTGGGTGGAAG